CTCATCTCTGGTAACTAATTCTTTTGTCTAGGAAAATTTCTAAACAAATGCAGCAAGCTGTGCTTTATGTAGTAACAGAAAAATGACTAATTAAACTGAAGATGAGGCAAGAAGTAGAAGACAGGTCCAGAAGCTGTACCTTGAGAAGGAGGATGTAGCGGACAAGACAGAGTTCACCACTGGAGTTTCTCTGGAATCGATCCTGAGATCGATCTTGTTTATTCTCTCCATGAATGATGTTGTCATGAGCAGTGGAAGTGCTCAGGCTAAGCCAGCTGATGACGCCAAAGAGGAGGCACTCTGAATGCAGAGGATAAAGGGAGAGCTGGCTGTAAGCAGCAGACAACCTTGAACAGGAGGTGCAGAATGAAGCTGAAATCCAACAGCGTGAAATGCAAGAGTACACTCAGGGCTTTCTGTGATAGACAAGGAGTGTATCAGCTGGACGTGACTGAGGAGGAGGTGAACTTTGCTGTAGCAGTTGCAGATGATTATCAACCACCAATTAGTTAAAGGCACAAAAAGCTAAATGAAGCCCTAGGGGGCCTGCGATATTTCCATTAGAAGCAGAAAATTGTTAATTTTTCTGGGCAGGTAGGATGATTTTCCACTAAGAATCTGTGCAGAAAAATTCTCCTTGGTAAGGAAGAGGCCAAAGATCCTATTTCACTACCAGACTTGTGAAACAGAGTCTGCGAGGGGTTTTGTTCTCTAGTTGCATCGCTACTCAGGGTGGTGGAAAGAGTACATGAGAGGCAGAAAAGCTGTATAAAATAATGGAGGATGCACGCATAGGAGTGAGTGAGAGGCAAGCATTCCAGAAAAGCTTGAGTAGTATCTGGGAGGAAGGTACTGAGCAGGAGAGCAGGGATGCTCGGGAGCAGCCTCTCCTTAAACTAGGAAAAGAACAGTTAAGTAAGTTTGAGTAACTGAAACACCTAAGGAAGGATCATGATGACCCCACAGATCCCATGTCCCCAACATCTCCAACCCACCTGAAGTTCACTTCTGTCCTTGCATCCCCCTGGGTGCTCTGCGGGGTCACTTTGGCTCCTGTTCTGTCCCCTTCCCTGCCTGGAAACTGATCCCCACTTTATCTTTACAGAGGGAAAAAGAAAAGGAAAGCCAGCAGACGGGGCCTTTTGTACCGCAAAGTAGATTAGGGGCCTCCCAGGGCCCTGCAGCCTGTGCTCAGCGGAGGGAGGGCTGGGAGGAGGGAGGGAGGGAGGGAAGGCTCCGCTCTCAGCCCTGCCTTTGGTCTGCGCCTTGCAAACAGTTTTCTGTCCAACTTCCTTCCTTTTTTTTTGAATTTTTTTTTCCCCTTATTCCCTGCTTGTCACTATGGATCAGCTTCTTGGGGATGAAGATCCTTTCTATTCTTGCAGTGGATTTAACTCCTGAAACACGTGTCATGTTCCCCAACTCCCATCCTGAAGCAGGAAAGCATTCACCCAAACAAAAGCCAAATGCCCTTCCTAGGGGCAATCAGGAAAAGGGAACTCTGTGGTGGTCTCTAGTCCGATGACAAAAGATTTCATGGACTACAGACAAGAAAGTCAGTGCTGCCTGGGATTATAGAAGCAGCTGTGGGTAGCAGGGATTAGCCACCACCTGTGTGATGAATGGACATGGCCCTGGTCCTGCAGCCAGGACACATGCCAGATGCTTGGTGCGACTTCTCCGTCCAGGCTTGACCCCTAGAGTTGCTTTCTTTATTTTTTGAATGACTGATGCCTCCTTCTTTAGCCTGTAGGAAACAAGCTGGTGCTGGTGGGTGCACGGAGGCTGGGTAGGATGATTTCCATGTGCCTGTCATTGGACATCTGGGTTTCAGAAAGGCTGGGCATCCTCAGTGTGCCCCTCTTTAAGCACACCCTAAAATCTCTTCCTTTTAACCCTCTTGGGCTCAATGCCTCCTCTATAAAGCCACAGCAAAGATCTATCCTATAGCAAGCGAGTTGCAAAGCCAAAATCATTACCAGTTTTGAAGCATTCAGCTGTTACAGTGAGCTCGATTGAGAAGCTCTTTAGGAGACCAATAATTTTACCATCTTAGCAGAGATTAAATAATGTGCAATAAGCCCTGCCTGAGGCTCCGTGCTCTGAACAATGCCGTGGAAACAAAGTATTGTGAGAATGTTTGTTCAGTGCATGTCCTGCGAGCACAATGAACCAGGGTCCTCTAGGAAATAGCTCTGTTGTGTAATTAACATTAAAATTAAAAATCTGTGCATTTAAAAAAAAAAAAAAGTAAGGTCTGTGCAGATGACTTCGACCCTACGTTTCTCATGCTGCAACCATCTTGGCCTTTGAGCAATTTGCACGTGCACATGTGTCCATGTTTCGTTCTGTAATGGCCAAACTTTATAACCTATGCAGACATTTGGCTCTTCTTCCAAACTTAAATAGATGGTCTACAGAGAAAACTCAGTGAAAACCATTGAAAAATTTGTGTTGTAGTGGGAAATGCTGACCAATCCAGATCGATTCTACTGTACCTGTGACAATGGGGTCTTGCTTTAGTTTTATTCTGCAAACTCAAAGGCTACTTTGGGTGTTTGGAGGTGAAACCTGCTATAGTAAGATAAGCATAGCAAGAGCAGCTTGAGTTATATCAGGAGATGTGAATAAACTAACTTTTCCAATCCTATTTCAGAATATCTTCACCATCTTGGGTTGGATCCAAAGACTAACCTCTTGTAGCACTTCTGCTGGCAGCCACGTGTGGTAGCAAAGATTGTGGTAGGAAAGATTACTGCAACTGAGCTGCTGAGGTTAGCAGAAGAAAACATAATGGTAATATAGTTCCACATAAGGGCTTGGAAGCTTGGAGCATCTCACAGCCTGCAGCATTCAGACTGGAGGAGAAAGAGAGCTGGACTGAACTGGGATCAGCAAACAACTCTGATGACTCTTCATACCTACATATTCTACAAAGTCACTCAAAAGAGACGTGGCTGAACTCAACAGAGTCCTCATATTGGGTCAAAGTGGTACTGCAGCAGGTGAAGAGAGACCCATGATGCTACTGAATGCCATAGCATATTCCCTGCTAAAGCTAGGACTGTCTCAATGCTGGGCCTGGGCTTCTGGAGAAGAATAAGACAGAAATACTGGTCTTTACTATGTAAAACTGAATAAATCCAGGTATTTCCAGGGATGAGGAGAAAGAAATTCTCCAGACTGCATTGTTTAAGTCATCCCCAGCATTTTTCTGGCCCTAAAACTCATAGCAATGTATATGTGCTTCTTTCAGCCATGGAGACTTAACTTTTTAGAACCAGAAAGGTGGGTATCTTGTTCCTGGAGCTGTACATTCTTTGCCTTTGCAATGTGGAAGTCCAGAAGAAAAGCTTACAGGCTTCAAGGAGAAGCAAGAAGCAGCAGTTCCTACCAGGCCACCCAAGACCACAGGTAATCCCAGTCAAGGCAGTGCCCCCCAGTCAGGGCACAGTCCCACAGCATCTGAACGTGGCAGGCAGAGCCAAATGCAAGGGGACAGCTAGCTAAAGCTGGCTAGGGCCATAAGTATTAGAAGGGCCAGGGCCCTGGCATGAGAAGCTTCACAGCTTGACTGGAAGCAATAGAAATACCATAAAAAACCCAAGAAGTAGGTGTTGCACATGCCATTGCTAATAACGTCTCCAATTTTTCCTGGTACCTTCTTGCATATCATATATATCTGGGAAATGGAGGGAACTGGAGCTGAGAATCAGAGAGCTCAGATCAACCCCAGAGATGCAGTAAACATACCACATGTGCCCAACATGAAATGGGATCTAACTGGGAAGAGGAGAGGGAAGGTGGAAGGGGATCCATTATTCATGAAGGCAGTAGCAGTACAACACAGCCTCCGTAGACCCACGTGGCGTTGGATAAGGTTACTACATAAACACAAGTAGGTAATGGCATGCCAAATTGGGTGCAGAAAGAAGAGAGCTGATGAGCCCCTACCCTTCCCTTTTTCCCCTTCGCTTGTCCCCTTCCTTTTTTTCCCTTCCCTTTCCATTTTCACTTTCCTTACCCTTTTTCCCTTTCAAGCAGATAGCACTCTCCTTGGGTGCGTGCCAGCAGAAATAAGTTTCTTTGGAAAGCCTTTGGAATTCTGGGGGAAGATTTGGGAAATCAGAAGTGCACGCAGCCCAGGAAAAGGGAGAAACAGCTTCCCTGGTAGGAGCTACACCACGGAGATGGTAGTAGAGGAGTAAGGGCAGCATGAACATGAATCACATCCAGAGACTTCTGGTTGGTCTGCCACAGACGATGGGGTCCAAGAGCTTTGGTGCAGGCTTGATAGATGTATCAGAGCTTCCTATCTCACTGTTATCTGCTCCTCTTCTCTGCCTCTCACTAACAGTGATCCTGATTTTATCAGGAAACCTATCAGGGCTTAGCACTTGTCTCAGATTACAGTATGTATTTGCTATGGCTCTAGCTCTTCTCACAAAACAATGATTTCTGTTACATCTCCCAGACTTTCTGCTCTTCTCTGCTGCTTTCCCCTCTTCCCTTCCTACGGAACTGGCTCCTGTTTGGCAGGCAGGTGGCTGGGCATGTCTCACAGCTGGGTGTGTGACCCCAAGGAGGATGCGTTCCAGCACTTGGGAATTAAACATCTGTTTGTCTGGGCAGGAGATTGGGCTCTGGATTTGCACCTCTCAGCTTGGGAGCACACCTAGAGTGTACCAGAGTGTCTGCTGCAGAGGCAGCAGGGTGGCTGGTGGGGAGATGGAGGTAGAATGGGAAGAGAGTGATTGCCAGAGAAAGGGCTGCAGCATTTATAGGTCATCTCCTCTGGATGTGTCACCTGTGAGGGTTTCTTAACCAGTGCAACCTAAATTGTGCATGGTTAGCTAGACTGAGTTCCTGCTTCAGGCTGCAGCTATTATCTGTGCTGCAGCACATGCTTGAGCTCAGTCAGGACTATGGGGTGAGGAGAGGGGCAGCATCCCAGGCACTTGGGCTGCTCGTAACGTGGTTGTTGTTGGAGGACATGCAACTTTTTGCATTGTTTTTAATTACATTCAGCTTTTCTGATACTCCTGCTTGTGGTTGGCCACATGGCTGCACAAAGCCACCACCCTGCAGTGTTTAGGCCCTGCATCTGCCTGGGAGCCAGGTCCCATCTGGCTGTAATTACCAGCTTCACATCAGCAGAAAAATGCAATATTTAAACACAAATGTTCAATGTTTGCATAGCAAACCTCAGGACAGAAAGCTCTTGATAATCAGCCTGCAGGAGAGGAGGTGGTGCTGTGCAGGTGAGCCCTGAGCTGTATGGCAGAATTAGAGCAAGACTCTGTGGGACTCACAGAGACAGAAGAGCAGCACTGAGCACCAGGAGCCCTTTGTGCAGACAGCAGCTGCCCACAGCCCTGCAATCACCACTCCTCGCTTGGAAAAAGAGAAATGGAGCTTGCTCATCCAAAGCAATCCCATCTATTCCCATTCCATCCATGCGAGGTGCTCATCCAGACTCTCCAGCTGGTGGAAGTGCTACCGAAAGCAGCACAGGCTTCTTACTCCAAGCAAGTCACCAGGATGAATAATAGCATGTGGATGGCTTGGGCAGCTGTCTCCAGAGAGGAATGCAAGCACTAACATATTTCTCAAAGCGACACGGGGAATTTACTCCACTGGCCCTTACAACCTAAGATTGAAAGCACAACAGGTGTGAGGTACCACAGGGTGAACCTTATCTCCCCCGAAGCAGGTGGCTGATGGTGCCAGGACTACCTGGCACATGGCCCTCTAGGTGACAGTCCTGGAGGTGCTGGTCCCTGTCCTATCTTCTGCAGGGTCAGCTGTACTCAGCATTTTCTTTCCCTATGGGGGAAAAAAAAAAAGCACACCTTGAGATGTCTTCCATTCCTGATGCCATCCCATGGTCTCTCCTCTTGGATTTGACAAGGCAGGGCTCAGCCTGTCGCCACTTGTCATTTCATGGCAGCAGAGTAGATGTAAGGTACCAAATGCCTCCTCACTGTCTCAGAGGGGCTCAAAGCCTTTTTCCTGCCACTTGTGCACCCAAGGCGAGCAGCCTCACTGTCGTCATCGCCTTGGAGAAGCATTGCTCATCTCTGCAAACTTTAAAGCCGCATCCTGACAGACCAAAATAAATCAATCAATAAATAAATCGTCTGTCGCATCTACTGGATTCTGCAGTTTATTTCCTCGGTGCTGATGAAAAATAGTTGGATGCTTAGTAGCTTCATGAGACTAATTATGATAAACGGCCCCATCGCTGCTAATATCCGGCCATTAATTCCCAGATGGAGCTGCAGAAAATGTCAGGAATGGAAATGTCAGCTCTCTAAGAGGACCTGGCAGGTATTGAAGTGGGGACTGGAGCGCCAGCAGAGGAGGCATCAGGGGAGAGGCAGGAATTAGCTGGATGGCAATATACATTTGGAAGCTGTACTTTTTCTGTCTTGATTGCCCAGTTTCTCCCAGTTATGTCTCTCTCAAACAACGACATTACCATGGCTCCTTTCAGATTTTCAAGCTCTGTTCCCTACATTAGGCAAAAGAATCGGCATCTCCTAAGAGTGACGCTTCCTTTGAGTGGAGGGAGCTCAACCTGAAGCTTCACTTCCCCGCTGAGACCCCAGAAATGTCACTTCATGTAAGTCTGGCATGAGTCACCTACAGCAGCACTGAGCTGAGTATCCCCTGGCATGTGGCAGTGCTGGGGGAGCTGGCACCTGGGCCTGATAACTATGGCTGGGCTCTTTGGCCATCATGGGAGGGTGCTATGGGACCAGTAACTCCATCGCACCATTACTTTCCACCAATAGTTTTTAATGGTTTTTCTGTATGTTAGAGACAGTTCTTAATGGGAACGTTCACTTCTAAGTGAGAAAGCACTCCAGGAATAGATGAACCAGCCAGACAAATGATCTCAATGCCCAGATACTGACAGCGCTGTATTACTGATGGCAGGAAGTCAGGCTGGCACTTGGTGCAATAAAGCAGCCAACAAACAAATGTCAGGGAGATATGTTGTGAAGTCATTCTAAATCCAAAAATATGGGGTTGTCCTCCTATGTGGAAAGCCACCACTCTGGCACATTGACATGCCTTAATCTCTGTCTCTGTTGATTTCTTCTAAGGCCTGGTGCAAAGAAATACATCTATTTTGATGTAGCTCGTCTATTTTGTTCAGCCCATTGGCTGAAGCCTTGCTCTGCACAGCTTCTGCAGTGTTATTGTTCAGATAAGAATCTATTCCAGCTCTTGGCACTTGCTTTCAAGTGGAAAAAATCCAAGCAGGTTGGGGATTCCTTGATAAAGCGCCAGTTGGTTGAAAGAAATGCTTTGATAGGAATCCATTAGTTTGAGCAATGCTGGTTGTCAGCAGAGGATGGCATTTTCACTCAAAACTAGATGATGTGGGCACTTACCTGTTGAGAGAAGATAGAGCACTCGGCCTGACCAGTCTGCTCTAGTACACAGAGCTGAAGCAGGGCTCCCCACAGCCTGCCATGAGCACCAAATCACTGCTAGCAGGGAGCAGAGATGTCTCTGTCTCTCTGAAAAGCTTGATGTTCCTCCTGAAGCTTCAGAGAAAATTTCCAGACCTTCAAGTCATTTCCCAGATCTTAGTTAAGAAAAAACACGCGTCCTCCTGACCTCCTCGAACACACAAAGTTAGCTGGCTGAGGACCCCAGTCCCTGCATGTTGTCTGGGAAAGCCTGAGTTGTAAGACTGCTAGTATCTTTCAGAAATGGCTTGCAGTTCTTTTAGGATGGTTTTTACCGGAGGCGGGTGATATATTTCCTAGAAGAGAGCAGTTCTATCTATAGCCTCCTGAGTGTTGTGTTTTGCATGCTTGAAGGGTGTTTGTATGTGAAACTCTGAAATTTCTGAAGAGTGCCAGGAAATGTCACCTCTCAGGCTACATCCTCCCCAGTACAGACTGGGCATATTGGCTTCCTCATGAGGCAGAACCCACTACTCTTACCTGGGATGACTTGTGTCCCAACCGTCAACAGCCTCCTTTTCTCTATAAGCACTCCTGTAGCCCTACAGAGAAGATAGTAGCATTGTATTAGAGATGCTTATGGCCAGTTCAGCTAACAAAAGCTTAGCACAGGCTTGCTCAACACTGCTGAGAGCTCATCTTGCTCAACTCCTCCATCACCACCACTCCCTTCCTGTACAGGTGTGGTCCTGACAGCCCTCACTGCCATCTTCCTGTGTTTTCCATGCACCTTTCTTGGAAATTCCTTTGGGAAGCCTTCTGGCTGGACTGGTGATGGGACACGAGTGTGAGACGAGAAAGAATACTAACCAACATGAAGATTGCTCTATTAGGGTCAACATCTCATTCTTTTCTTGAGATTGCAGGGAAAAGTGGAGTCCGAGAGCAAAGAATTTGCAGCTGGCTGGTATGAACTGCTCCACCAGTTCCACCCTGCATGAACACAAGATAACCATCTGCTTGTTGTGGAAAGAGCTGCAACAAGTAGCAGGGGTATAAAGGTGAATCTGTCTCGATATTGCCTTCCCAGAATCAAACTGAACCTTCAGGAGAAAGACATCACTGCAAGATGCAGCCAGACCTCCTCCTGTCTCTCCCTGCTTTGTCACTTCCTCGTGGTTTTTTCTGTCAAATGTAGTTCACATTGTCAACATGTGGTGTTTTACTCTAAATCAATGCTCTCTTGTGTGTGGGAACACACGTAGGTGTGGAGACAGAGAAATCTAGGGCCTTATTCTCCAGTGGCCTCGTGTTTGGAGGATCATTTACACCTTCAGCAAAGTGTGTGTGGGGTAGGTATGGAAACTGCTAAATCTGAAGATGCCTGCCACCCACGTCAGAGAGGTGCAAGTGATGAAACAACTAGTGCATCATCTCTGAGGTCCACACGAGTTGGGCATTTTGGTATTTTGTTATTCTTCCCATAACTAGAGGAAGGCTGCTCCCCGTAATAGTGAACTTGCGTGCAATGCACTGCCCTGGTATTTTCTGAGCTATTGGTTTAGAATAGATATTTGAGAGCCAAAGGATTGAAAGGGGAGGGGAAGAAAGGTGGATGCAAAAGCTCACGGACAACAGAAAGCAGAGGAGCCAGGCTCTTCTCAATGGAGCCTCACAGAAAGAGCAAACCACTAACATGTGTCACAGTTTGCATCACAGTTTGCACCTTTCTGGTGCCAGTCCACAAGCTAACCATCCACTAAGTGAAACTGGTTTGATGGGGAAGACAAGAGCTGCCCTTCACTGTGGGGTCAAGACTTTGCTAAGCCTCACTCACGCTCTCACCACCCCAGTGGTCTTCTTGGTCAGACGGGGAGAGCAGTGTTTTCCTTCTCTCCAAACAGCTGTGCACTAGAACCAGTTCTAAGTGAGTCACGGACCTGGTCACTCCTGCTGGTTCTGCAGGAGCTCAGGAGCCTGTTTTTGGAGAACCAATTTCTTGGGAACTCAGCATCAGCTATAAGTACCGGAAGGTCTGTAGCCTAGAAAAAGCACATGGAGCAGGAAGAAGCGGTGGAAGGAAGACAGCATTGAACTTTTGGGGCCAGCATCCAAACTCAGGCTGAGATGAATCACAGAATTATAGGGGTTGGAAGGGACCTCCAGAGATCATCGAGCCCAACCTTCCTGCCAAAGCAGGTTCCCTACACCAGGTTGCTCAAGTAGGCATCCAGGAGGGTCTTGAATATGTCCAGAGGGGATGGTACAGAAACACTCAGCAGCAGTGCTGAATGCCAGCCACCACCAACTTGGTAACTGCACAGGGTGTGGGTGCTCCCTGCTGCAGCCCTGGGGAGTGGGTCTCTGGGGAACCATGAGGCCCCTTTGAAGGCAGGTAAGGAAATGAAACCTCACTGCAGCACAGTGCTGGAGACTGCAGTCAATCGCACACCTGTCTGCTTTCAGTTCTGGCCTGGCAGGTTTCTGAAGGGCCAGCCAATTGAAACAGCTCCGCTTTCATCTCCTGGCTCACTGAAGCATTTTGTGTCATACTTTGAAAGCTCGGTCAGAAACGAAGCACGGCTAACCGGGGGGACAGCAAGGCCTGCTGTGAATTTGCACCCGCTGCAGGAGGCACAGGGCTGTCCCAGAAGAGCACAGTGCAGCTCTCCCTTTGAATCCTCTGGGCCAAGAGTCACAGTCTGCAATGCCACCCCCGGGACCTCCTGCAAGAACCATAATCACATTACACTTAATCGAGGCAAGCCTTGATTAAATAAAGCACGGGGCCAGCAGCTTAATGGAGAACCTACTCCTGGGGGTTTCTCCAGCAAATTTCAAAATGACACGAACCCCATGCCAGGCAGGGTGAGGTGCTCATTGCCTGGGTTCTGCTGCCTCCTGGTGGCACAGCCCCCCGTGCCCCCAGACAGGGCCACACACGAGCCCCAGTTGTCCCCAGAGCAGCCAAACCTGTCTCCCTCTCGTGGGTTTGGGCTGAGTAAGGAAGAGGCAGGATGCATCCCTTGCAGCCCCTTGCTTTGCTGGGTGTCTCCCAGCTGAACCCAGTGCCACCTGCCCCTCATTTAGTCATTATATGTTCTCCAGGTGGAGTTACGACCCCAGTAGGTGTGGTGGCCTAGGATGCCTGTGGGTACATCAGCTCAACTATAAATAACCCTTGGGAGGCAGGTGGTCTCTGCTAATGGGTCTATGATGGTTCTGTAGTAATGGAGGCTCGGTGGTAGCAGCAGCAGCAGCAGCTCTGTAGTGACAGCAGTGCCCCTGAAGTAGCTTGACAATAGCTGCTATGCCCCTTTGATGACGCTGATGTCTTTGTCGTGGTGTTTTGGTGACAGTGGTTCTTGGGTGATGGAGGTAGGGTGGTGATGGTGGCACTCCGTGGCTGTGCTGGGTGCTCTGTGGTAGCAGAGGGGGCAGCAGTGAGGTGGCTCTGCGGCAGTAGTGGTGACAGCCAGGGCTGTGAGGTGGCTGTATGGTGGCAGAGGTGTTCTATGGTGGCTCTGCCAGTGGTTCTATGGTGGCAGAGGTATTCTGCAGTGGCTCTGTGGTTGCAGTGAGGTTCTGTGGGTGGCATCATCAGGGGGTGGTGGCTTTACGGTGACTCTACCAATGGTTGTGCGGTGGCTCTATGGTGACAGAAGGACTCTCGACGGCTCTGTGGTGGCAGAGGGGTCTCCGCAAGTGGTTCTCCGTTGACACAGAGGCTCTCTGGTCGCTCTGCGGTGGCTCTCTGGTGTCTGTGCGGTTGCTCCGACGTGACCCCGTGGTGGCACAGCGGCTCAATGCCGCCCGTCCCGCGGTCCTCCCAGCCGCAGCCGCCGCTGGCACGGACCGGGCGGCCCCGAGGAGCTCCTCCCGACGGATGGTAGCGGCCGCTCCTCCCCTAACGACGGGACGCCGGTTAGCAGCGCTCAGCGGCGGCTGTCGGCGAGACGGGTACGGTGGGTCGGCTCTGCGAGAGCCAGGGGAGCGGAACCGGGATTCGGTGAGCTGCTGGAAGGCGGAGGGGAGGATGTCAGTCGGTAGCTTTGCCTAGGGGTCGGCTCAGTTCTTAAGCGCTTTTCTCCTGTCTCAGTTTTTAGGCCGTTTTGGATGCTGTTTGGAAGGAAAGAGGCTGAGTTCGTTTTGTTGACGCTTTGGACAGAAGCAGAGGCAGCGGATCAAACTGCTCTGCCAGACGTTGAAGACACGTGGGAGGTTGACTTGGAGGATGTGTAAAAGCCCGGATTTGCTGAGAAATTGTAATTATAGTTTTGCCACGATGAGACACAGACACTGTCACTAACGTACTGGCAGTGCCATTAAAACATGCTCTGGTTTAAATACCTCCATTTAGCACAAAGCAGCACACCTGTGTAGGTAGGAAAGGTGCTTTTCAGGTGTGAGAGAGCCTGACTGAGCTAAGGGGAAAGTTCAGGCAGGAAAGAGAAGGTTTTCCAGGCTTCCTGTGGCTAAAACTGGAAGCTTGTTGGCAGCTCAAGCCCTGACTGTCTGAGGGTTGTGCTCCAAGCAATGGTGGCACACAGCTGGAGTGTAACAGTGGGCTCATGCCACTGTACAGCTTTGCTTCAGCATCTCTTGGGCAGCAAAGAAAACCCTGAGCACTGTTTGTTTCACACTGGCTGAGGTTGCTCTAGCAGATCTATCTGAAACCTCAGGCTGCTAACAGCCTTGGTAACACACAACATGCCCTCTGCCTAGGGATGAAGGGCCACCCTAGGGTGAAAATTTGGGAGGACATCCTCACTTCCTTCTGGGGGAGCTGGAGGCTAGGGAAGAGCTGGTTGCTCCACAATAGGCCCCTGCACACAGTGTCTAGGCTGAGTAAAAGTGAGTGGATCTCATTTTTTAAACCAATACAGAGAACATTCCTAGAGCTGGTTGGGAGCACCAGCTTCCCTGCTGAGCTCTGGTAGGAGTGCTGGCCAGAAAGAAGCATTCGCTTCGTATTTAGCAGTTCTCCCTCTCTCCACAAGCTGTATCACGTACAGACAAGCTGTTTTACTCCTATGCATGTTTGGTAACATGTTGGAGGCTTGCTTTTGTTGTTTATTTTTGGTGTGATGTGTGAGTTTTGTGGTGGCAGCTCTAAACACCCAACCCTCCCTCTGTGCAGCTGCAGGAGTGTGGTGGATGCTTTTGAGCTGGATACCGAGGAGGGTTTTGTTTGATTGTTGTGAGAATAGTTTGGGAAGGGAGGTGTGAGTGAACGTGCAGGGATCTGGGCAGAGATTGCCAGCTTTGCAAAAAGGTGAGTGGACTCAGGGTTTGGATGAGCCTTTCCTCATGGAGATAGCTATGGAATTGGATGGGCTGTGGATTCGGGTCCTAAAAGGTCAAAGTACAGCAAGTTGTTCTGCCACCTCCCCTCTCCCAGGAGAGATGCTCAGGTGGGCTTTGTTCCGCATTGCTGCTTGTTGGTGTATCCAAACAGCCGGCCTGATAGAGCCCAGCAGTGATTCATCAGGAATCCTTGGATCTTGGCTGATACCAATCAATCCTGCTGGGCTGCTAAAATAGATATGGCCAGAGCATAAAATAACTAATAAAACCAAAATCCTCCATGGCAAATTCATTCTTCAGGGTCTGAAGTTGCAGTTCTTGTGCCAAAGAGAAGCTAAGAGGAGAAAGATTTGAGATTTTTCTAGCTTGAAGGAGGGGAGAGAGTATTATTGATCTTGTCTCCCAGGCCTCTGCAATCTGTTTGTTTGCTGTGTGTCACTTAAAGGATTCGCATCATGGTAACCTTGATTTATTATCCGATTTCTTTTTTGCCTCAACCTCTCAAAATTGTGCACTGGCTTGAACCTACAGTAATAAACCCGCACAGTTATTCCCTCTTATCTCAGGCATGCATGTAATGCTTTCTTTGCTGTGTGTACCTGATTCATTCGTGCAGACAGACAGCAAGGTGAAATTCAGGAAAAAAAAATTCCCTTCTGATAGAAAGCGTGGGATGGGCACCATTTTCCACTCCATTCATTGCAGTCTCCAAGTGAGAACAAGACTCCAGACAGGCACCACACCAGCTGTGGCCAACAAGATCAGGCAGGATCTTTCTAAGGATTAGCTGCAGCTGTGCTGGAGGACCCCCATTTAGCAGTCTGTTGCAGGGACTTGGCCTCCAGGAGTGACTGAGGAGGATGTATGAGTCTTAGGAAGGGGTGCAGGGCACAAACATCCTCAGGTAGGGCTGGGTGAGGAGTTGGTGTCTAGCCCTGAGCAGGAATTAATGAATAAGCCATATCACACTCAGGGTATCCTTGAGAGACACCACAGAGGGCTTTGACTCATAATTTATAGGAAAAAGCTTGGCAGGTTTGTGCACATCGTTCTGTCAGCACATGTGTGTGCAGGCTGGAGGGGCTCGTGTCACTTTAGCTCTACTAATTAGTGACTGTAGTCACCTCTGTGTTTAGACAAGTCTAAAATCAAGGGCTGCATTACCATCCTGTCAGAAGTCTGAGGGCTGTTCTTAATTAGTATTTCTCTGTGCATGAAGGTTTTTATAAAATACAGCTGTACAGTTGTGATATTTGCCTGGACTTGTATCTCCCAGAGTGGAAGAATAGGAATTATTTGTGAGCTGAAATCACCAGCAAAAATATCCCCTGCAGGAGGAGAGAGAGAGAGAGGAGCTTCTGGCTATATTTTAATATTCGTCAGGCGATGCTTAAACATCTCTCCTGAATTATTTAAATGAAAGGGCCAGGCCTCACATCTGGGAGCTGTGTTGGTATCTAGGCTGTGGTCTGTCCCCACTGGAGTCAAGTGTGACAAGGTTTTTAAGGGATTTTGGTAAAAGTAGCACTTCTGTTGTAGTCCCAGTTGACTCAGATCCTCCTGGCAGCCTTTAGAATGCTGCCATGATCCAGGAAACCCCTGCTGCTTCAGGAAAGCACTTTTTCATGTGTATGCTGCTGGTTTTCCCCTCTAGAACCCATTTGGCATAATAAAACACTCTTTCCCTGGGGTTGCTGAGCCATCCAGTCAGCTGTGTGAGATTGATGGCCCCCAGATCATGAAGGCAGCACTTGGTTTGACTCCCTGCTTGGGTACCAACCTTGTTACCCACTCATCTTAGCAAGCCCACAATATCCAGCACAGTGGGGGGTGTGGAGGAGTGCCAAGGATGGAGTGTTTAACTGGCTCAATGTCTTTTCGCTCTAGAAAGCCCAGGATTGCATTGCAGTGTCATTCTCTTAAGAAGATGGATAGAATAAACAAGGATTTGATGAATTCCCTGGGCAGGAGCCCCAACCCTCCCAGTAGCAGCCGTGAGGCTTCATGCCAGAACCACAGACCAGGAAGGCGTTTGTTGCTTCCTGATAGCTGCAACCAGGGGGCAAAAAAGTACTCAGCCGTTAGGCAAAAGGCTTCTTATTCTGGTGTTCCCACTCCAGAAGCCTCCAGCATCTCAGAGGTAAGTGCAAAGAGCAATTCTTTTTTCTACCGTGGATTTTCTTAAATGAAATAAAAATAAGGCGCCCCTGGTGTGGAGGAAATACAGCTTTCATCCCAGCCCTTCAGTTCTGTCAGAGACCTTTGTGCAGGTCCTTGACCCTTACAAAGTGAAGCCTTGAGGTTTTTCCTGGTCATAGATGTGCTGCTTCCCTTATGGCCAGTGCTATCTGTGTCTTCGTGACGTAGCTGTGTCTAGGTTACCAGTGAGGCAGGCAAGGCAAAGCAGTTATCGCTGCAGAAAATGTTTGGAAGTAAAACCCTGATGATTTCTTACCTCATCAACCCTCTATTCACATTTTAAGTTGACTTCAGGCTGCACTCTGACAAATCCCCCTCCTTTCTGTGCATTGGGCTGAAGTTTCCAGGAGCGCGTGCCTCTTCTGGTTGTTACTGACAGTCACATTTATCCCTAAAGTTCTGGCAAAGCGAGTTTCATTGCCTCACTCTCCGTCTTGACACAGAAACCCACCCTCCCACTGTGCTGTAACTGCTCTCACATTTCTCTCGCTGCATTTCAGGATGTTTATGCTGCACCCTGTACATACCTTTCTTTGGTAAATCAGGCGGACCTCGAACAGCACACCCCTAAAGGTAAATACACTGAGAGGAGAGGTGATATGGCAGGATATGGGCCATAACCCTTATGGATGCTTACACTGAGTGTAAGCTGAGGTTATAGCTTAGTGCACTGCTTTCCTTCCCCTGTCAGTGCCAGGAAAGGTGCTAAGATGCCCGAGTATCCCCTGAAAAAATGAATTTCATTTAGACGTAGAGCAAAGTGATGTGACCACGTGGTAAAACCATGCTCCCTTTTCTCCTGAATGCTTTCACCCCCAGGTGGACTGCATTGCTGTCTATGGGAGTTCATTGTATGGTGATTGGCAATGTCACATGCCTGGAGAGCACTGAATTTATGTGTGTTATCACTGGGTATGCAGCCAGCAATGCCCTTTCCCTGCCTATCCAAAGCAGTGAAATTGGACCCTTTAAAGCTGTATTCAGGAGCTGGATACCCATAGCCAAAATCATGGTTCTCTCTCACTTATTCATTCTACACCCAACTGTGTCTCAGAGTGCCTTGTTCTCTCTTAGCTGCAAAGGCTCTTTGTGCACACTGAGCTGCTGGTCCCACCTGCTTACAAGAGCTTGTATCATGGGTGCACAAACACAGGCATAGAGCAGAGCTGAAAGATCTGGTAGCCCTCTCCCTGCTCCTGGGGGATGGATCATA